TCTCAAACTAGGAGCATCGGCCATGGCCGCAGGGAGCGCGGGGGAGGGCGCTGGAAGCAACACGGAGCTCCGTTGGAGGCGTTTTCAAGATTAGCGTGTCAGAGTGAAATGGCACTAGCCAAAACAAGCGCCTACAACGGTACAACTTACAAGCATTGGTGAAGCAGTCAAAAGCAAATAGCGCTCGGCCCGAACCGTGCAGCTCCACGTGCAGCAGCCGGCTTGTTTTGACTTTTGAATCCGAAAGTCGAAAGTATCTCGCCGATCGCTGCAAAGTGCAATCCCCACCGCACGCAAAACGCAAATCCTGTTTTTGCACTTTGAGCCCTCGCGGCACAAGCTATCGTACGGCTATAGCTCTCAACTCTCAGCCTGTGGCGGCCCCGCACCGCCGCCCGGCGGTGGCGTGTGCGGCGGCGCGCCTGCCGTGGCGGGCTCCGGCAGGGCAGGGGCCCGTATTCGAAGGAGGCCCTTGAGTCCGTTGCAAAAGCTCACCGCCGCCTGCTCGCCCGCCGCGTACATCGCGCCATACTCCTCGCTCGCCGTCGGCAGCCGGTACGGACTCAGCTCACGAGGCCGCTCAGAGTAGCCAGCTGGCGGCCCGTGCGCTGGCTCGAGGGCTCGAGGCGGCGTCTCGGCTCGACTCGGGCGCGACGGCGCGGAGCCGGACGAGGTCGGTGGGCTCTGCAGGTTGCCGCCGCTCCGCCCCCCCTCCTCCTCCTCGTCCTCCCTCTCCTCGTCCTCCCTCTCCTCCCTCTCCTCCTCCTCTGCCTCCTCCTCCTCCCCGTCCTTCGCCGCCTCGGCCCCCTCCTCCATGGCAGCCGCCGCCCCCCCAAAGTGAAATGGCTCGTACGCCCCATCCAGAAGATCACCGCACAGCGCGCCGCCGGCCCGCAGCCGCTCCGCCGACTCCTCCGCCGCGCCGCTTGGTTCGCCCGCGACTCGGCAGCCGCGGGCGTCCCCGCCGCCCCCAAAGCTGCCGTCGTGCCCCAGCGCGCCCAGCTCGCCCTCGTACTCGCACACCTGCCGCGCGGCGGACTCGTGGACAGGGACGCGTCGTGGACGTGTCGTGGGCGTGTCGTGGGCGTGTCGTGGGCGTGTCGTGGGCGTGTCGTGGGCGTGTCGTGGGCGTGTCGTGGGCGTGTCGTGGGCGTGTCGTGGGCGTGTCGTGGGCGTAGGCGGCGGCGGGAGGCATTAGGGAGGCACCTGCCGCGCCAGCCGGCCCACCGTGGCGCCTGCCGTCACGACCTCATGCTCGAGGGTCGACAGCCTGGCGCAGAGGGGGGGAGGGGGGGGGTCTTCAGCGCCTTCCGCCTTTGCCACGCGCACTGCAGAGACCGTGAGAGGGGAGGGGTCAGAGGCCGTGCAGAGAGGGCGGCTTCATGCCACGACCTCCAAAGTCCAGTGTCGCAGCGGCATGGCATCGCCGCCTCCCAGGGACCCGGGGGGTGAGGCCCCCTCTTTCGCATCTGATGTCTCCGCGCCGCGCCCTCAGTCTCGCACCCTCCGCCTCGGCCGCCTCCGTCCTGCGCTCGCTCTGCCGCCGCCGCTCCTCCTCCAGCTGCTGCGCCGCCTGGGTGTGTTTGGCGAGTGTGGGGCCGGAAGGCGGCGGAGGCGAGGGTGACGCGGACGGCGGCAGGAGTGATGCTGCGCGTATACCAGTGTATGTAACTCGGAGGAGGCCATCTGTCGGTGGGTCAAGAGATGCTGTGCCTCGGCATGCCGCGCCGCGCCGAGCAGCAACCCCACCCCCTCCTCCACATTTGCGAGCGCCGTCGCTAACTGCGACGTGCAAGCCGCCGTCGAAAGCGCTGCGTCGCTGCAGCCTGCAGCGAGGCACGGTCGTGCGGTATGCTGGAGCACTCGCAGCCATGTAGAACTAGAATGAGATGCCAGCGTTGGCTGCAAGCAGACACACCGGTCGGCATCTGTGTGTATTCGGCATCTGGGTCGCAGCAACCTCGCCGCCAGCGCGGGCCGAGTGCCTCGTCGAGCTGTGCCGAGATGCTCGAGACAGCGCTGCTCGCGCGCAGCAGCTCTCTCGTTGCGCACTGCTGGTCGTTCGGACCAACGCGCTGCCGAGCGCCCGCCCTCTGCACCTCGACCATCACGTTGAGGCGCTCTGCTGCGGCGTCGAGGCTCCCGCTCCGCCTCAGTGCGTCCTCCGCGTCGGGACGCGCAAAGCCCATCTCCTCCAGCGCATCGAGCGCCCACCCGCTGTCCACCCTGTCCGCCCGAGGCTGCAAGAGGCCCTCGAGCGCTGTGGCGTAGCGCTGCCAACCCTCGGCACAGCGCTGGAGCCGCTGCACCTCCTGTTCCCAGGATGCCCGCTCGGCGAGAAGGAGACTCAGCGGCGACTCATCGAGAGAAACGTCTCGCGGCGAAGGGAGAAGGCTCATCACGGTGCGTCCAGTTGACAAGCCAAGAGCGAGAGACTTCTTCCGCCCTCCGCGCCTCGGCCCGGAAGTCGGGCCTGGACAAAGGGGCAAGGGAAAAAAGAAAAAGGCATCGCCAACAACACTGGGCACGGGACTGGCGCGCACTGGCACTAACAAAAAGAACCCGCACAGTTAGCTCAATCCGCCCGCCGCAGCGCGCGCGCGAGCCGTACATCGGCAGCCGGGGGCACATGCGTCTGTCGCAGCCGGCATCGCCAAAGCAGCACGGCAGCCGCTCCGCCACGCTCCTCCTGGAGCGGGAGAAGGTGGCCGCACTGACTCGCAATTTCGCCATGATTCTGGCCTCGGACAACGCACACCGCGAGCGCGTCCAGCAGCTCGCCGCAGAAGCCAAGCACTCACGAGCGCTCATACACGAGCTTGCAGCGGCGCTGGCAGCGACCGATGGGGGCGATGTAGCTGTTCAGCGGGCAACGGCGGCCGCCGCCCTCGCAACGCGCACCTCGCCTCCGCCGGATCGGGGCTGTCTCGAGCCGGTTGAGGTTGGCCTCACCCGAGGAAGGATCTACCCCGCCTCGCTGCCGGTCGAAAGCAGCTCGTCTGCCTTTGACTCCGAGGCGGAGGATGTGGAGTGGCGATCGGTCGGGTCGCAGGATGCGTCCACCCAAGTGGAGGAGCTTGAAGAGCCGAGCAGCCACCATGAGCATGAGCAGCTGTGGGGCCTTGACCAGGTGCTGAGAGAGCTGCAGAGATCGCACGCCACGCTCGATGAGGCGCTGGGACATGCTCAAGAGCACTTTGCTTCCTTGACGTCAGAGCGGCGTGACTGTCAGGGGTAGCGGGCCTGACGCCGGTATGTGCACCGTCTGTATGGACCTGCTCACCGGCGCCGCTCGTCTACTCTACAATCACCGACGATGCGAGCTCTGTTCGAGTGGTGTGTGTGTGTGAGAGTTAGTGCCCCGTCGTCCCTGCCCCATTTTCGTGCGCAACATAGAGAGTTTGGTTTTGTCCCCCCCGGTGGCCTCCGGCCTTGGGCTTTATTGGTGCAACCAGCCTAGAGCGCGATCTTTCACACTGGTGAGCGCGCCGCGTATACACGGCCCGCGCGAGACCGCCGCGCGCCGCTCGCGGTGCCCACACCATCGGGACCGGTCCGGAGCACCCAGCGACCGGTGTCGAATCGCCAGATTCGACCGCGCTGGCCTCCTGGAGCAACGCGCTGTCGCTCGCAATGACGCGATACGCGCGCTTTTTTAGCTCCATTTTACACCGATCGTTCGCGCCCAGACCACTCCCATCCATCGAGGGCACATGAGTAGCCTACGATTGACCCATCTCCGGCCGTCTCTATGCACTCGCAGGTGCGTTTGGTCCTCGGCGCGCCCGCTCTCGCTGCCTCGAGCTGCAGAGATGCCTGCAAAGAAGACCGGGCGCGGAGCGAATCTGAGCCTACTCAACAAGGAGCACCCGAAGGACAAAAAGGGCGACGACGACATCGGCGACCTCGAATCCGTCGACAAGCCGGACGACTCGTCGAGCTCGGGCGAGTCCACCAGCGGCGAGGCGCTGCCGCTGGTGCAGTCAACCCTCCCCTTCTCTTGTGCGAGCAGCGCACGGAAGAAGGGGAAGAGCAAGCGGCCTCGGGCCGCGGAGGGCCCTAGCCAACGGACGCTCGCCGATTTCATGCCCCGCCGGCCGCCTTCTCTCTCAGATGGCGCCACCTCTCAGCCTCCCGCCGACGCTCCCGCCGACGCTCCCACCTCCTCTCCCGCCGCCCCGACGGAGGAGATGGCGCCAGCGCTGCCCGAGCCCGAGCCCGAGCCCGAGCAGCTGCCGCCGCCTGAGCTAGCCGCGGAGCCACCGGCCAAGCCAAAGCGCGGCCGCCCACCGGGCAGCAAAAGGCCGGCTCAAGCCAGTGCGTCCAACCCGAGCCACTGCGGCCGTGCGTCGAGCTCTATCGGCGGCAACACGAGCGAGGTTTGGTGCTCTCAGGAGTGCTATGCCAACGCGTGGTCGGCAGGGGCCGGCGGGGCAGGTCCGCGGCGAGCGCTTCGCCTGCGGCGCGCGTCTCTGGCCACCAGGGAGGGTCTGGAGGGCGATTTTGGGGTCGATTTTTGGGAAGTGATGCCAATCGAGAGATCTCGCCGAGCCCTTTTCGGTGGTGTGCTTGCGAGCTTTTTTTTCGCACGGGAAGCATTTTTCGTACTCGCAAACGTGAATTAGTCGACTAGGCTGGGTGCACCAATACGAGAGTTTCCTCTCGCACCGCCCTCTGCCTGGTTTCTTGCCGTGTTTCCTGCTAGTTTCCCTACAGCACCCTCTAGTTTCCTTGGGAAACTCCGTGGAAATCATCAATTTCCCGGGCTCTGTTCCCTCTGAGCCGAGTCTGAGGCTGGTTTGGGCCCCAAATCAGCCAAATCGGCACAAAATACCGGGGTATTTTGGTTTGTCGGCGCAATTGCGGGTGTACGTACACCTGTGGAAAATCCCTGGTACATACCGCGTTGGTGTCCAGTCCAAGCCTGACTGTTGTTCATCTTTCTACATACATACATACCTTCACACTGGTCGAGTCATAGGCGCGAGGGGCGTGTGGCTGAGACTCGGCTCGTGAGCCCCGCAGACTTATCTCGCCTACCTAGGTACCAACCTCGCTTCGTCGAAGCGGCGCCTCGTACACACACACCCACCCCGTTGCAACTGTCGCCGGCTCGCGACTCGGTACCGCCGGCGAAGCCGTCCTCGTCGAGTGCGTCTCGCCACGTACGCGCGCGCGCACACACACACCTCAGTCTCTCGAACTGTCAGAGTCTCTCGGGGCCACACGGCCATCCGAGAGGTCCGCAGCTGCTGCGCGCGAGCAAGGTCTGCTTACACGTCTTTCAATCGACTTCCAGCACAGCAGTGTCATGGCCGGCGCTACATCAAAGCAGCGAGAGGAGAGTACCGCGCCGTCCCCATCGGCGCCACCGCCTCCCACGCATCCAACGCCGGGTCGTACCGCTCCACCGAGCTGAGGAAGCCGTCGTCGTCGCCGAGGCCGCCCACAGCGTACAACTTGCCCTCGACCACGGCCACGCCGTGATCATACCGCTCCTCCGCCATCGGCGCCACCGCCTCCCACGCGTCCAAGGCCGGGTCGTACCGCTCCACCGAGCTGAGGCAGTCACCGTTGAGGCCGAAGCCGCCAACAGCGTACAGCTTGCCGTCGAGCACCGCCACGGCGTGAGCCTGCCGCTCCGCCGCCATCGGCGCCACCGCCTCCCACGCGTTGGCAGCCGGGTCGTACCGCTCGACCGAGCTGAGGGTGCCGTCGTCGTCGCTGTACCCGCCAACAGCATAGACCTTGCCGTCGAGCACCGCGACGGCGAGAACGCGCAGCGCCGTCGCCATTGGCGCCACCGCCTCCCACGCACCCGCCGCCGGGTCGTACCGCTCCACCGAGCTGAGGAGGCCGGCGAGGCCCCGCCCACCCACAGCGTACAGCTTTCCGTCGAGCGCCGCCATGGCGTGATACGCGCGCGCCTCCGCCATCGGCGCCACCTCCTCCCACGACATCGTAGCCAGGTCGTACCGCTCCACCAGGTTGGAAGGTGCGAAGTTGTCGGCCACACTCTGGCCGCCCGCCGCGTAGAGCTTGCCATCGAGCACCGCCATGCTGACATACTTTCGTGCCGTCGGCATCGGCGCCACAGCCTCCCCCTCCCACTCATTCGTTGACGGGTCGTACCGCTCCAGCGAGTTGAGAAACTCGTAGTCGTTGTCATCGCCGCCGATCACGAGGAGGCGCGGCCTCTCGCGCTTCTTCAGCGTCTCCTTCCAGCCGCGGCGCCACGGGCGGCACGTCCCCTTGACGGCGTGCTCCGTGATCGGCAGCTGGGCGAGGATGTGCGGGGCGAGGTCCGGCGAGAGGAGGACCTCGGAGAGCACCCACTCGGGCTGCTCCACGAGCCGAGCGGCGTGCTCCTCCGCCACGCGCAGCGCGGCGTCGCTCGCGCCCGCCTGCGCCTCGATGATGGCGCACAGCTGCTCTGGCGAGAGGCCCGCGACGCGGGCGCCGATGCGGTGGGAGGCCATCGGGCGGCCTCTGACGGAAACCTTGTAAGATTCTTTTCTGTAAAATTCTTTTCTGTACTTGCCGCATCGACCACAGAGTTCACCTTACTACCTACCTACCTACAGAGTACCCTAGTGTGCTATGATTGATGTTTAACCATCTCCCGCTTGGCGGGCTTTGGCCTGTATACTTTTCAAAAAGGAAAACAGAGGGGCCCCAGCACTTTGCGTTTCCGGAAATTTCCAGGGAAAACAGAGGGTGTTTGGTGCTCCATGCTGGAAACTCGCGACTTTCCCTGAGTCTGAGAGCTGGTCTGGGGCAAAATCTGAGGCAAAATCGAGGAAACCGGCAACATCCCGGGCCTTTTCCAGGTATACCCGGGTTTTTCCAGGTACCCGTGGGGCGCTAGCATCGGCCGCCCATCGCCGCGCGCGGCCTCCTCCTGCTGCTCGTCATCCTCCGCCTCGAGGGCGTCCGCCAGCGCGCTGCGCCGCACACCCCGGCGCACAGGAGGCGGCGCCGGCCGCACCTCGGCCGCCTCGTCGGCGCCCGCGGCACGGGCGCATTGCTCGCCGTCCACGCGGTCCATCGCCGCATCCCCATCCCCGTCTGCGGCAGCGCCGCCTGCGCCCGCGCCGGCCTGCTCTGGGACGGCGCGCCACCGCTCGTCGTCCAGCATGTGCCACCACCGCCGATCCGGGTAGCCGTCGTACTCGACCTCGTGCACGATCCGTCCGTCCCCGTCCTCCTCCCGCGCCATGACGGTCGCAGGGTACCACCGCTCGCTGTCGCAGAAGATCTCGAGGCGCGATCCGGTGGACAGGACAGTGTGGCCGTCGAGCGCCGCCCTGGCATCCTCGCGCTTTCGCTTCCGCCGCTTCGCCTTCGTCTCCTTGCTGCGCAGCAGGGTGTAGTTCGGGCCCACCTCCCGCACGCTGTCCAGCACGTGGACGGCGCTCGCCATCTCGACCGCGTCGTCCTCCGGCGGAAGCTCCGCCTCGCCCGCGGCCGCTTCCCGAGCGCGCTCGTCGCGCATCCGCTCGTGGTGGGCCTGCCGACGCGCCACGCCGGCGCCCGTGTGCCTCGCCGCCGCGTCCGGCGACGGCATCGATGCTGTCCGCACGAGCGTGACTCGCCACTCAACGACCTCCACGACCTCCACGACCGCCGAAAAGTTCTCCCACTCGCGCTGCCCCAAACCGAGTTCTCTCTACAGTTACATACATACCTGGAAAATACCCGCGTAGTTTGCCGGTTTCCTCTCGGTTTCGCCTCAGATTTTGCCCCAAACCAGCTCTCAGACGCCAGCATGCTGAAATTCTGGAAAAACCTGACCGGCCCCTGCGGTGCCCCTACCTACCTACCTACCTACCTACCCTACTTATGGGAAACTAAAAAAGAAATCACGGGCCTGGTGAAGGTGGGGTACTATACCAACTACAGTGATGGCTGGCGGTACTCTCCTGCTGGATGTAGCGCTGGAATTGCGGGCACTTTGCTCCGGGGGCGTGGACGACGGCGTGAAAGGGGCAGAAATTCTGGTAGAGGATGCCAAAGTCCTGGCAAAGGGCGGAGATCTTCTTTGTGCCGGTCGCCGCCCACGCCTCCTTGTTGGTCGAGGCGGCCGCGCCCGCACCCTGCGCCGTTTCCTGTGTAGGGGCGGGGCCGGGAAGGGCTTACTCCTCGCCGGTCAGTCATCGCGCGATTTGGGGGATGTGGGGGATGTGGCTTGGGGGGCGCTGGGCTTACCGTGCGCACGACAATTTTGTCGCTGATCGCCATCTTCTGCGGCAGGAAAGAGGGGGTGAAGGGCTTGCCTCCCGAGTCCTTGAAGGAGGCGACCACGTAGATCTTGTTCATCGTCTTGATGTTTCCGCGCTTGCCCGTCCACGAACCGCCGAAGGTCGAGATGGGCTTAGCATCCTTGCACGATATAATCGCGTTCTTATACTTGGCCGCCTCGGTAGTCGTGATGATGCCCGAGGTGAGGAGCTGCGTCGCCCGCATCTCCAGGAAGGTCTTCCCGCCGGTGCGCGCGGTGAAGAAGAGGGTGACCATCTCGCCAAACAGCTTGAGGTGCTCGGGGTTGGAGACGTCGAGGCCTGACGGCGTCTGCGTGAAGAAGAGGACGACCACGCCCTCCATCCGCGCGGCGTACGCCGGAATGCCGGCCGCCTCCGCCATCGTGTAGACCTTGATGCCTTTGTAGGCCTTCCCGCCGCCCGCCACGTCGTACAGCGAGGCGGCGCCGGCCTCGTCGATGGTTAGGTGGGCCGCCACCTTGATGGTTAGGTGGGCCGCCACCTTGAACGAGGCGCCAGCCTCGTTCTCGAGGTAGGTGAGGAACGCCTCCTTCACGGCGAACTCGTCGATCACCTCCGAGAGCACGTCCTGGTTCATCGCGCCGGCCTTGCCCGAGCCGTCCGCCATGACGACCATGGTGATCGGCGCCTTGAGCGAGCCCTCCTCGCTGAGGAGGGTGCCAATGATTTCCGGCATCTGCATCGAGTCTAGGAAGCCGTCAAGGCTGTCTTCCTCGGGGGGGCCCTCCGCGACGGTCTCGAGGGAGGAGGCCATGATGCCCGGCATCTGCGGGTTGACGCCGATAGGCTGTCCGTACTCGCCCCGCTGGCGCACGTTGCGCCCGGTCGCCTCGCCTTGTGCGCGGAGGGGAGAAGGCCGCGTGGAGGAGAGGGAGAGGCCGGACAAGCCCGTTTGGCCGACTTCCATGGGTTGGGGCACCTGTGGCAGAGCTGCCGCCGGTAAGCCGTACGCGTGCGTCACGGCAAGTGTGACGATGATTTTTCGTGTCCACCCGATTAAGGTGGATCGACCGGCCAACATGGGACCGGTGGTGAGTGGCTGAGTGCAGGTGCGCGCCAGGTTGGGGTATCCGGGAGTCATGGGATCGGCGATGAAGGCGTGCGAGAGAGAGAGAGAGCATCGAGAAAAAGAAATAGCGTTCTGTATGTACGAAGGTAGGAGGGTGGTGCCCTGCCGCTCGGCCATGCAGACAACCCTGGGAACTGGCTTTCGGAGCCCCCTTCGCCGTCGTTAGGCGAGCCGTCTATTCTTTGCTCTCTTCGCTGGTGAGTAATGCCACGCTCTGCCTCCGACCCGCTGCTGGCGGTGCCGCCACCTCCCACCTCCGCTTCGTCGTCGATTGACCAAGAATCGCCAGCATCGGACCGACAGCGAGCGATCCGCACCGCCATCGCCCTGCTGGCTGTCGCAGCCAGCTACGTGCTCGCCTCCACGTACTCGTCGCCACAGGTGCTGCAGGCAAACCGACCGCCTCACTCCTTTACGGCTCCAACGGTTGAGGGCGGCGGGTACTGCTATACTCCTCCGTGCAACCCATTCTCGGGCACCTTCAAGTCGCCACTCTTCCGCAACCCTACTGCCGTCGTGGGCACGCCGCCAGACATGAAGCGTGTGGTTGCCTTTCATGGCTACCTGGCCGCCCTCCTCGGAGGCAGTCTGCTGCTGCAGGCCTCTCCCCGGCTGCGGGCGGCGTCCTCCGCCAGCGTGTGCCTCTACCGCCTCTGGCGCGGCTCCTTCGGCGCAATCCTCTTCCTCCTCCTCTCGGGCTCGCTGCTTGGCTGGTGGGCGGTGGACGCGGCTCAGCTGGGCAAGCTCAAGCCCTGGGCGCACTCGACGGCGGTGGACAACCTGAAGCAGCTCGGCTCTGCGGCCGGCCACAGCCTGAACCTCGTCCTCGGCCTCTCGCTGCTCCCGATCGGCAAGCGCTCCTCCCCTGTACCGCCTGTCTATCGGACACGTCCATGACGCGTCCCCGGCATGTCCAACAGGCAAGCGCTCCTCCCTCTCCGCCGCCTTTGGCCTCTCGTGGGAGAGCGCCCTCGCGTACCACCGCTGGCTGGGCGGGCTCGGCCTCGGGCTGATGCTCGTGCACGTCAGCCTCGAGTTGGCGGCCTGGGCCTTTGACGGGGCGCTCGTCACTAACCTGCTCCACTACGCACCCACCCACGCGGACACCGATATCAACGCCTGGGTCATCCCGCTGATGGAGGCGGTCGGCGCCGCCTCCCTCCTCGCCGGCGCGGCCGCGCTGCCGGCCGTCCGCCGCAGGAGCTACTACACCTTTTACCGGCTGCACCTGCTGCTGCCCCTCCTCCTGGTCGCCACCCTCGTCCACTCTTGGGACTTTTGGCAGACGGCGATGGTCGGGTTGTGGCTCTACCTCCTCGACAAGGCGGAGCTCGCCTCACTGCTCGCCCTCGACCTCTCCGGCTCGCGCCGCTGCACGCTCGAGGCCTGCCGCCCCGTCGGCGACGACTTCGTGGCGCTTGCGCTCCGCTTCCCACGCGGTGCTGCGAGCGCGCGGCCAGGCCAGGTCGTCTACGTGCAAGTCCCATCGCTCTCCTGGCTCCAGTTTCACCCGTTTACAGTGAGTGACCGCGGCGCCAAGGTCGGCGAGCGGGCTTCGCTGAGCGGCGGGGGCACCGCCCACTCTCCCGCCGACGCGGCGGTGCGGCACCTGAGCATCAAGGCGGGCCGCAAGGGGTCGTGGACGCGAGGGCTGCACTCCCTCGCGGCGTCCCGCCTGGCGGAGGGTGGCGGGCAGGAGGGTGGCGCGGCGCCGCTGCGGGTGCGAGCGATCGGCCCATTCGGAGAGCCGGAGGAGCGCGCGGCGGCGCATCCGCAACTTATCCTCGTGGCTGGCGGCGTCGGCATCACGCCGCTCTCCGCACTCGCGGGCGCATTCATCGCTCGGGCGGCGGCGGAGCCGGGGTCGAGGCCGCCTACCACTTCGCTGCGGCTGGTTTGGGTAGCGCGGGACGTGCGGCTCTTCGTCGAGTATGCGCTGCTGCTGGAGGAGCTGATCGCGCTGCCTCGCACCTCCGTGCGGCTCTACCTGACGGGCAAGGCACAGGAGGAGCGACCCCTGCCCGCTTGCGTCGGAGACAACGTCACGCTCGGCCGCCCCGACCTCGCCCGCCTCCTCCCCTCCCTACTCGGAGAGATGAGGCGGGAGGCGGCCGCACCGCAGCCGCGGGCCGCGTCTGCGCCGGACGCGCGCAGGCGGGGGGATGGAGGAGCGGTGCTCGGGGCGATGGAGGCGGGGCATGCCGCCCCGGCCAGAGCCTCGGCTCCGTCAGGCGAGGGCTGGTGGGCGGGTGCTGCGGTGCGGCCGCACGTCTTTGTGTGCGGGCCGGCCGTGCTCGAGGCGGGGTGTCGCGCCGCCTAAGCGGGCAACGGAGAGGACGCCTTCGAGAATGGGAGTCAAGCGGGCAGCTGCGAGGAGCGCACGGATCTGAGCTCGTTCCTGTGCGACGATGGCATAGAGAGCGGCGCTGAGGGTGGCGGCGCCGAGGGTGGCGGCGCCGAGGGGGCCGGCGCCGAGGCGGGCGGTGCTGGGGCGGGCGACGCTGAGACGGGCGGTCCAGCTAGCGCGGAAGCCACGAGCACCTCTCAGCAAGCGCAGGCCGACCGCGCTCGCAGAAGCGAAAGTATGTCCCTCGCGTGGAGACGCGAGTTCCGCGCCGCTTGCTTCCTCCTCGCGCCGCTCTCGATGATGAAGCAAGAGCCAGCACAGTGGCCGGGAGACTACAACGAGGCACTGCGCCGCGGGCGGGAGCGCAAATACGGCAGCACTGGCAGCGGCAGCGGCAACGAGGCCGATGTCACGCTCGGAGCGAGTGGGAATGGCGTGAGCTCGTCGCCGGCGGACAGCAATGAGGCGGCGAGCAGCCACATGGACCGCAGGGGCGTCGAGGCTTGACTACGTGAGCTGGTTAGTCGGACAGAGCTCACATATGTTGCTCTCTTTGGATTCAGCATTCACCCCACCCCGTTTCTGGTCGTTGTACATCTTCCTGTCCGTTCGCCGTGCCGCGTGCGCGATGGCGCTCTGCCCAGCTGCGCGAGGTGGAGCCCGATGGTGGGGTCGCCTGGCTAGTCGCCTGGTGATGGTGGTTTCCCCTAGGCTTTCGCTTTGTATCGAGGCATGTGTCATCTGTCAAGTCCTGCTATACACAGAGGCTGCGGCCCAGGTTTTTTTGACACGACACCGGTCAACCTTAAATAATCAGTAAAGCGGCGTGCGCATTTGCGACGCACAATGCAAAAACGGCCAGTGGCCGGCCGAATGGGCCGCGCTGATGCGACTGCTGCCTTGCACCAGAGCCGAGTCGGTACTAGACTAATAGTCCGGGGACTGTCCCGGCGGGGTCCCCGGGCCTCCGGCCTCGGTGGCGCCCTCCGAGGAGCTCTCGCGCGCCGACTTGGTCTCGGCCTCCGCGACGAGGCTCTCCCAGTTGGCCGTCGCGAGGAACCTTCGCGCC